TTTGTACGACGGTGAGTTAATGTCACACGAGAGATGATATAACTAACATACGTCCCTTATGCTACATTAGAGTTTTGTACGACGGTGAGTTAATGTCACACGAGAGATGATATAACTAACATACGTCCCTGGTGTTACATCAGAGTTTTGTACGACGGTGAGTTAATGCCACACGAGAGATGATATAACTAACATACGTCCCTGGTATTAGAGATGATATAACTATCATACCCCCGTGGCGTTACATTTGGGTTTTTTTTAAGACGGTGAGTGATTTTGTCACTTGTGAACTAATGTTTGACGGAAGGGTAAATTAAGGTGACCCAGTACATCAACTAGATATTGAAACCCTTTACTTGGTTAATCTACCTTTCGCGTGTATGTCGAATGTACGCGTAAATTGAAACAGTACATTCTCGTTAGCGAATTTCAAAAGTCAGATGCCAGGGGCGGAACTATATGACTGAGATCCGGACAGCGGATAACATCTCCGGACCATTACGTACCGGACAACATACCCGAGGGACCGGGTCACGGATGACCATTGAGAATTGACTGACCAGTGTCTGATGTTTAATAGTATGACCACATTGGAGTTGGTTCCATTAACAGATGTGACCTGCTGATAGTTCTACTACAGCAAAGAATGACTTGTCCGGGCAGCAATCCTGTATGCGCGAATACTCGTGGTCAGTCGAGTGGACAGTCGGGTGGTCAGTCGAGTCCTGTACTGGACGATTCAGGATAGAGAGGCAGATAGTAGCTTTATCAGCGTGATGACTTGATAGGGATGGCAAATTTGATGTCAAAATATGCCGAGGGACGTGAAGATTTTATGTGTTTATTTGGTAGATAATTACCCACCAGGACATCTGGTTCTCCTCGCACCGACACGACTATCTACAATATAAATGACGTTCCGTATTGTTTTGTGGGATACAGCAATAAAATGCTTCACAGCTGGTGTATACATGATCGGTGTCATGCTTCATCTTACGAGTCCTTCCTGTCTTCAGTCGGGATTCTGTTATTCCTTGTTATAAAAGCATATCTCTTAAAAGCCATAGTTCCCACACGAGAACGGGGCAAAATAATTTTGACGAAGTCCCTTTTTTGTTCTAATTTCTGGAACATTTATAATAAAATCTTGAAGAGGAACACGTGTTCACCCTATGATGTAATACTTCATAATTATGCAACAGTAACACAAAGTTTCGAACCACTGATCTCCACTGGAGTGGAACAGCACGCTCCTCGTGCACAGTTAATATGTTTGGTAAATGTACAGCACTGACACAAAGCTTTGCACCACTGACCTCCATTGGAGTGGAACAGCACGCTCCTCGTGTACAGTTGATATGTTGAACGATTTTTTATCTGTATGTATAACGACGGTTTTATGGGAAGGACCCATACAAAAATACGATAATAAATACTTAACGATATTAATATATAAATTATAAAAGCCCCTACCCGCCCGAGCTGACGATATATGTTGCTGTATCCGATATAATCCCGAGAGTAGAAGACCTTCAGATACCTTGCCGACATGACTAGAGTAGAAGTGAGCAGCGACAGCCATGCATAATTTATACACTGGCACGTGTTTTTTTCAAGGACCGGAAAGAAAATTTATTTGAAGTTTTGAAAACATCATGAATTTTTTATCCCTAATTACCAGTCTGTATTGTTAAACTAAACTCTCCTCAGCAGCGGTGAAAGTTAAAAGGGTAACGTAACTATTGTTACGTCATCGTTACCAGAGATAGTCCAACAGTGGGTGTGTCGATAAAGGAAATTAACACAGTGGTCGTTAAAATGATTTTTAGGCTAAACGTACTCGGTACGCATGGCCTATTGCGACGGCCTTTCTGACAAAATTTACCGATCCTGGCCTTCTCATTGGCTGAAATATCGAAAAGAGTTAGAGCCCTCTAGCGACAATTTTCAGCGTAAATAATGCCGCGATTTTTCAAATCGCTATTTTAAAAGCATCCAAAATTAGTTAATTTTTTTAAAATACAATACGATTACTATATATTTCAAAAAAGAAGCACAGTGTGGTTGAACTATTGATGAATTTTAACAATATATTTTACGGAATTCTCGACATGACGTAAGCGTACAGAACACTGTACGTGCGAGTTGGCGCTATGATAAGAAGCTAGTCTGGGGGCTTGGTTTGAATTATCAACTAACAGCACTTATAAACAAACAAAACTTACAAATAGAACCTCAATTTTGCTTTAATCCTTCTCGCTGTGGCGAGATCGTCTTAATATATAGCATCACTTTACCTCATTAGACGTCACAAAATTGGACTGTTCGTCCTACGCGCACACCCGCCGATATTACACTTTTTCAGGATTTTCACACCCACCGCCATGACACTTTTTCAAGTTTTTGAAGATAAAAAGTTTGCGCTTCGTAGACAAGGTACATTTGGTGCTCATGATTTATGAACAATATATTTTTAATACTGTACTGATCATCATGTTGACTTTAGTTTTATTTGATTAAGGTTGATTGTGCTGATTTCTCAAGATTTCAGTCCTTTTAAAATATATCAGTGGTAGACGGAACTGTCCATAAATGATTCAAAATAAACTTTAACATGAAAGGAAACAGAAACAACAATACTGTTACAGTTTTTCAAATTTCCAAATGGCACCTGTGGAACTGGAGAAGCTAACTACATGTTTTTCAATGTGTGGTTATCCTACTTAGGAGCACCCACCAAAAAATCTAAGATATATATGGAGGTTTTGTTTAGGAAAACCATGATTGTGCAAAATGTTTCAAAATGGCCGCCATATGGATGTTTTGATGAGGAGGTAAAGAGCACTTTGCCACCTTTATTTTCTTGAACATTTCAACTATTTTTTTTGCTACATGGCACCATTGGAATTCTGAGCTTAAAGTTTAAAATTATTTTTAAGATGGGTTTAGATTTTCAAGGTGGTTTTGGATTTCCGACAGGCTTGAAAATTAACACTTTGTCAGGACCATCTCAGGTTCATTTCAAGCAAGTCTGAACTGAATCATACAGGTTGAACTTGAGAATTTCAAAATGATAAAAAAAGAAGGAAATATTTAATATTTTGTTTATTTATTGTAACATTGTTTAATGATAATCATGAAAAAATAGAACAGCACAGCTGTCTGATTATGTCATCAATTTGTGTCACATGATAAAAAAGGTGCAGAACCAAAGCTGCTAAGGACAGGGCCTGGTAACAGGAAAATTACAAAATGAGCCAATCAGAAATTAGCACCAAAACTTTCAGCCAATCAGAGCCCAGAGCACCATTCAGTTCCTCACTAGCTCAATCACAGGGAAACCCTACTCCACAAAATGATCTAGAAACATTTATCTGAACATTTCCAGTGATTAGTAGCACTAGTCTAATTTACCCAAATATTTGTGTAATCTCACTGAAAATTTCAAGATGGAAGAAATTTAAATTATGACATCAGAAATGTTGATGCTCATTTGTGTAATTACTTATTATGATGTGCTTCATCACTGATTAAAACATCCACACAGATATCCATACAGTCATCCACACAGATATCCCAATAGCCATCCACAGATATCCATAGACATCCACACATATATCCATATAGCCATCCACAGATATCCATATAGCCATCCACAGATATCCATACAGATATCCAGTCAACACATATATCCATACAGACATCCACACTGTCATCCACACAGATATCCACTCAGACTTCTATAAAAACAGCCATCCACACAAAGACATCCAACATCCACATCCAAACATATAGCCATCCATACATATAGACATTTATCAAAATGTATATAAAGTACCTTCAATATAGATTAAAAGCTACAACACAATGTGACAAGACTAAGTAAAATAATTATACTTAATATTATCATTAAACAATTTTTTAATGTTTAAAATTTCCACTAGTGAAAATTTGCTCAGAAAGGTGATTATAAATCACTTTAATTGATATTGTTGTCCTACAAAATAAATATCGTTTGAAAAGTAAATGAACATCTATGGTGTGATTAACAAATTTGCAAAGCATTGTGTGTGACTAGACAAACACTTTCTATCACAAATCCTAACCTATGATAACCGTTGACACAACCCTCCTTTAAGCAGGAAAATCCATCTGGTTTCTCTACAACAACAAATGGATGGAGGTTCCTTCCTTTACATTATTTACCAACTAGATATTCTTTTCATCATAATTTAGACCTCTCCATCAACTGAACAAAAAAAAAAAATGTTTCTGGAATAATTCACTGCCAAACTTTACAAACCAAAACATCCTGTATAATTTTACAATTAGCCATAAAATGCTCCACAAGTGAAAGCTACAAATCAGGTTGACCCAATCATGTGTTGAATTTCTTCGGTGTAAGATCTCAAATTTCTGTTTTTTGAACGGTCATTATATTGACACTTAAAGCACCCTGATCTTTGATAGAGTAAAACAGAAAATAATGGACAGCCTAGTCTACTTGGTGTGTAAAGGGGTGGAAGTCTCAACAGGCATTACATGCCACACCTGTACTGACAGGCAAGAGAATGACCAACAATTGGGGATTGTCACACACTCACACACACAGCTTCCATACCAGAACAAGAATGTAGGTAGATTGCATGTCATAGTATCATTAAACAGCTACAGCAATCAGGCCAATAGTGTTTAGTGTGGTCCCTAGTCTGTGTAAAACACAAGGTCGAATCCTAATCATGGAATCACTTTGAGCTTCCTCACAGGAACACGCATAAAAAATTGTTATATACTAAAAATGGACGGCATTGCTGATTCATATGAAACCATGGCAACATCTATAATGTACCATGAAAGTCAGTTTCTATATAAATGTATAAAACAGGCTGTGTATTACATATCTTTTGATTGGTTGGTTTTGTAGAAATATACACTATTTGTGTCCTCTGCTGCCATAGGATGAAATGAGACTGTCAATATTACAAAGGTTCTCATTGGTCTCACACATATGAAGGTGACCAATCGCTTGGCTTCTGTCTTGTAGAGTCACTATCTCTCGTTTTTTGAGCACTACTTTGTAGATTATGTTTCCTCTCAAAGTTTTCACGAGGTGTTAAATGTTTGAAGTCTTTCTGTTTGGAGGATATTGTATATATGTCCGACACTGGTCTAGATTTCACAAGGTCACTTTCCTCCTTCTCTGTTGGTGGTCCACATGTTAGATAGGACGAAGACCCTGGTGATGACCGATATCCATGGTGACTATTGTTAAAGTTGAAAGCTTTTGCATCATCTGTAATGTTGAAATGTCACAAAATCATACATAGAAATTCAAAGGATGCTTATGAACACATTTTTGATAATTTTTATAATAAATGATATGGCGACCACATTGATGATACTAGGTTACAAACAACATTGAATTCAATTTATAAGATTCACTTTCTATCATCTTTTGGTCTTCTACATTGTAAATGAACCTAATCTGCATATTTTGACAGTGACCAAGTATCATCAGTCTAGTAAGCTTACCTGGTATGTTAGTGCAGCTTGGCATGTCCATATCACTACCACCACGTCCACTGTCACTTGTAGTTGTCTCCCCTGATGTATCGCTTATATCATCATGTGGTGACTTTACATTCAACTGTTAATTAAATAAAGTCGTTTTAATATTTATAGTGCTGACTTCTCATTATGTTCAATGTCATTTATTTAATAAATGAAATTTCTCAGATGTTTGTTGTTTAGACAAACAGTGTATGCCTTGGGTCTGGTGACTCAATTTAGGCCATTAAAATAACTTTGAAAATTTTATAATGGAGTCTGAGGTGAGCTATTGATAAGCCTGAAATTAGTCTGGGATTAAAATTATAATTGCTATTCTCCCTATACACACTAACTGATGGTCCTAAATTCTGGTCAGTCAGGAGTGACCAGGACAACACACCCTATTGGCTAACTGGCCATTACTCATCAGGACCGGTCACTCTGGCATTGACCCTAGGGTGGACATAGGTCAGGCGATGAAAGGGATGGCTATGATTTACTAGATGATTTTTGCCCACTGACAATAGTGTAGGTTTGGGGCCGGTGACAGCTTGACTCTACAGAGTGGGTTTATGTGTGTACGTATCACAGCTTGCCCCTGACTTAATGACCAACACAGTTAGAACAAATTTTAACAAACAACATAGTTCTGAATTAGGATATCAAATTTTACAATACTGAAATCAGATTCATGACATTTTAGCCTATGAAATATGCTAACTATCAACAGGTATCAAGTTTTTGTTTGAAAATACATTACAGGTAATGGACCTGAAAATGACTTTGTACTCAGCAAGAAACAAACTCATACTGACTGCCATATTGATGTAGCTTTGTTTTTTTTTTCCCCTCCTCTCTGACATTTTCAATAATTTTCATATTTTTTAAAACAATTCTGATGGCAGAAATGTTTTCTTTTCAACAAAAGTATGCAAAATGGATGACATTGTATTCAATATTTGCTCTGCATCAGATTTTTTTTAAAAAAGTAACATTGCCAAAGAACATCTGAACACAGTAATATTAGCTAGATGTTAACATGAACAACAATTAAAAATCCTTAAACTGATTTCAAAGCAGACAGAATTGGGATCTACGTTGATATGTCCAAAAAAAAGAAAAAGAAAAAGAAAGAAAATATCCAGAACTTAGTAAGAATTATTTTCCCTCATCCAATCAATTTCTATCAATCAGATCAAATTTCTTTCTAAAAAGCTGTTTTTTTGCCAGAAATTATGTTACTGTGTCTTCCTCTTTACAACTAAATTGAACCAATTCCTGAGTCATCACATAGATTTTCCATATTCTTGACCACCACCAACATGGCAGAGTTGAGTATTTCATGACTTCGCTGAATCAGAATTGATAATTTCAAGAAGGCAAAAAAGCTGAAAACCTCAACATAATGTGAAACAAAATCCTGATATCTTGTGTCCACAGAGTGGCAGAGAAATGTCCAAGTCTGATTGGTGATTTCAATATGTGACTCTATACATATACATGTACCATCAGTCAAACTTTGTTATTTCAAAGTCGGTGGGATCAGTGAAAAAAGTTATCCAAGTATTTGACTGAAGTGAGATCAAATGTTTGGTGAAGGGTTTTGCTATGACAGATGGAATACTTAAATGGGATCTTCCAGTTATCTGAGTTTGAGATAACGAGGTTTGGCTGCTTAATATTTAAAACACGATTTACAGTTTTTCTATATATACCTTTATTAAAGAATTTTCATAGTTATAATATCCACACACACGATTTAAATTTTTTCGTACGTACCTTTTTATGACTTTTCTCTTTTCTGTCGTCTTGATTCTGTATGAGAAGCTGATGTAGATGAAGGGTCTGAATGGTCTGGGGGTCATAGGTCAACGGTGTCTGGAATGATTTCATCTTCTCTGCCTGCTGTCAAGAAAGAATTAAAGCGATTAGAAAATAAACTCTGAACTAAAAAATGCAAAAAAAAAAACAAAAATAGAAATAATTCAGAACTGAAAATGCTTTAAGAAAAAAGAGTAAAAAATCCTAACTGAAAAGGATACAAATAAAGAATGAAAATTCAGAACTGAAACAAACAATCATTTAGCAATATTTTATCTGTTCACGTTGATTTTACCCCATTAGAAAGTCAAGAACAACAAGAAATTTCATGCTAAAAGTTCACCAATTTGGTCGTTGAGAAAGTAGAAAAAATTACATAACACTTTACTGTCAAGTGTTGACCATAGCTGACCACACAGAAGTTTCTCTTCTGGTAGTCCAAACACTCAGGCCCTTCTGACACCCTAGAAAATCTACCAGGGATTATATTGGACGTTTGGGTGGCTAAACTAACATCCCAGGCCAGTTAACAAAATCTAAGTAAATGTTGACAAAGTCATTCACACATCAAACACATCCCAGCTCAGTAAAGACCTTTAAATGTGTTTAATTATCACAATTTTAATACCTTACGTAAACAGTTTCAGGAAATGGTTTTATGTTAATTTATATTTCAATATTCAACATAGGAGCTAGTGAAACAGGCACTTTTACTTAAAAACTTTTGTAAAGCAACATTTTCAAGTACGTTAAACTTATACAACAGTATCTTATGACATGCTGTCAAGATCACAACATACTTGTTTCCATAAATGACTAGCATGAGGTAGCAATTAACACTTAAACTGATTTTGCAGATTTTTTGGGAAGTGTAAAACAAATTAATATCTACATCTGGAGACAAACTTTACGAGTACAGGTTCTCCCATGGACCTGTCCTATAAGTGAGAGACAAACTGTAAGAAGACTGCTTTTCAGCCGTCCTTGGAGGACCTGTGTATGTATGAATGACTGATCAGGGCCATCGGTGTATGTGGCCCAGTAAAAAGTAAAAATTACTGGTAACACTGTTATAGTTAGATCCATATCTCAAACATTAAGTTATTACAGCATTCCAATTCTATACCTGATAATTCCTTAAATATGACTCAATACCACTTTAGTGTGTAACTAGAGCGACACTGTCCTGATACGTTACAGGACGTCATGCAATCTCACTAACATACATCTACTGTCTTCCTGAAACAATATTCCTCAATCTCCTTTTTTACTAACAATGACACTTGGTTGTGATAATGTGTCACTTCAGACATTTGACATTTTTTACGTGAACCATGAGCTCACCAGAACATCCTATACCCTGTTTAGGGTGTCTGTGAACACAAACAATAGCACAGGTTTTACACATGCGTCATGTGTCGTAGTTCAAATTCTCTCCTTGTTTAACTTGCTATTGTTGTGTTTCTGCTGTTTTACAGATGTTTCTGTGAATCATTTCAAGTCCTTAAGAAAGTCTGTTAATTTTTTTCCTAACTTTTTTTTATAAGCTGACTTTTGATTTGAGGGTGGCTGACGGAAAAAGAATGCCCTTTCAAAAGTTGAACACTTGACCTTTGATTGCGTTTTAAACTTGCAGAGTTGATATTATCTCCAATTATAAACATTTCTGTATGTTTTTCTATCGTGTGTCGACCACACACAAGTATTCATCATTGTTTACGATCATTCACTCTACAATGATTTCAGAAAATATATCAACTTATGTCTGCACATTTGACTTTGACAAGCATTGAAGGAAATTAATCACCTGGACACATTCATTGTACCGTAGGTGTAAGAATTGCTTTATGTTTGGGTATTTAAGGTTGATATGAGTTGAATATTTACATGGAGTTACACAAAAGAATGTCCTGTCAGAAATTGCATGTGTTTGGGCCTTAACGCCTAGTCAGGTCGAAGTGCACCTCAAGGGTACGACATTCGACACGTTAAAACAAGGGGCAGGTTAGCTGGGCCAAGTATCACTAAAATCTAGTGTCTGCCTGATCAAATCTTGTCAACGAAACAGGTACCTGGGGTTATAAATGACCACAGGTAACACAGTGTACCTGTTCTTACACCTGTCTGTATACATGTCACACCTTAACTGTTAAACCTACACAAATATTCACACTTTCATGCTTTCAAATTAATATAAAAATAATACTGAATACTGGAAAGTGATAAATGATTTTTCCCATTAATCAATTTTATGTTATTTTATTTTAATGTAAAAATGTGAAACCGTCTCAAAGCTTGAGTTTTCCTTTATTTTTATCTTAGTTACGGTCGTAGTAAATAATTAGAGAAACTACAAGACTGACAGGTCAGCAAGGGCCTCGCTATTTAGGGCCTTAATATTTCAACATTTTCTTGAATTTTGAAAATATTTACAACTGTTTCAGTTTCTAGCTTCAATTACTCCTTTTTATATGCAAAATTGAAATTGCACAAGCATGGAATATTTTCGAGTCCTACTTAAAAATATTTGGTTATTTTCACAGAGTGAATTTCAACTGCCTGCCATGGACATTTCACTCAGCAACATGTTTTACAGCCAAGCCTGCTTTTATGACGACCATTATACAACTTGTCTATAGTGGCCACTAGCTTCAGGTCCAAATATAATACAAATCATAGTAAATGAACCTCAATATAAAGGTCACCTGCCTATAAAGATAATTCTAATCTGGACTGTTCAGATTTGAATGCAGATGAAAAATCTTTTTTTCTGAAGCTTACCTCATGTTTGCTACTGTTGTATGCCGACACACTTGAAATATCAAACACATTATCTAGATCCTCGTCTAATGAGAAGCTGACCTCCTTTTTCTTTTTCTGTTTGTATAAATCCCCATTACTATCAGAGTGGTCTTGTTTCTCTCCATAACACATCTTCCCATTCTCAAGATAACTGGAGTTCTCATTCTGGATGCTGCTGCTGAATTTCCTTGCCATTTCTTGGCGTTGATCCTTCCGTCGTAAGAACAGAATCAGGCCTATTATAACAGCAGACAGAATGACGGTGAGGACGACCACCACAGCTGAGATAATGATGTATTTGTTGCTGCTGTTTTCTGTCGTTGAAAGGAGGGATGTTGCGTTGGTGTAAACAAGGATTACGTGTAATGAATGTGTGCTAACCCGTCGTGGATTTCCATTATCCTCTGCCGAAACAGTCAGGCGTATCACTGTATCCTCCGAAATCATGCGAGTATTGAGAAGGTAAATGTCTCCACTATAGGGGTCAATTGAAAACAGCTGAAGGTCATTTCCATGACGAATACTGTACACAATAGCCTTGTTCTGTTCTGAATCCCTGTCATCGGCACTTATTTTCGTTACCCAAGATGGTGTTTCTGTCAAGTACCCAATGGAAACTGTGTCATTGCTATCGTTGGGAAAAACAAATACTGGACTGTTGTCATTATCGTCAGTCACAAGCACAGTCACAGAAATGTTTGTTTCTAGTGGAGTTTCTCCTTGATCTCGAGCAAGAACATGAAAGGTATACAGAGACTGAACCTCTCGGTCCAAAGTATCCTTAGCACGGACAACTCCATCCTGATACACAATGAATGGCAGGTCTCTGGACACATTTCCTAATAAGGAGTAGACAACCTTGCCATTGTTTCCTTCATCAAGGTCAACAGCTTTTAGTTCTCCGACCTTGGTGAGAGGATCAAGGTTTTCCCCAACCATCATCTGAATTCTGCTGCTGTTGAAAGACGGTGCATTGTCATTGATGTCGGTGACTGAGAGAACAACAGTTGCCGTTCCTGTCTGCTGAGGGTTGCCACCATCAACTGCCAGAACTCGAAATGTAATTCGGGGATTAACTTCCCGATCAAATTTCATATTCGCTGTAACCACTCCAGTGTGAGAGTTAATGGCAAATTTAGAAACACTATCATCATGAAGGTAATAACTAATTTGAGCATTTCTTCCGATATCGTCATCAGAGGCTGATACTTGTGTCACCACACCTCCTTCATCTGCATTTTCCACAAGTGTTGCTGGATAAACACCTTTTGAAAATCTTGGGATATTGTCATTCTCATCTGTCACATTAACAGTAAAGTTCACAACAGAACTCAGAGGCGGTGATCCCTTGTCCTCACAAAATACTGTGACGTAGTAACGCTCAACAACCTCTCTATCTAAGCGATTATTTGTCATGACGATGAATCCTTTCCTAGCTACAGGTTGAAGAGTAAAATTTGTATCGTTGATGGTACAGGACACGTTTCCATTTAAACCTGAATCGGAATCATCAACCCTGACATGAACTAGTGGTGTAGCATTCTTGGCAGATTCAGAAATGTTCATGACACCATTATCACTGGTGACAATGTAACTGAGGAGAAGTTCGGGAGGATTATTGCCTCCATCCACGACCGTCACCATTACTTGTTGTTGGGTGACTTTAGGCTGGTCACCTTGGTCACTTGCATCGACGTAAAATTGGAAAACTTTACCAGGATTGGCTGGCAGAATTGTGGACAAGCTTATTTCACCAGTTTGAGTGTTGATTGTAAACACCTCTTTAATTTGTTCCAGACCCTGTTGATGGGGACTGAAGCGGTAAGTGATCTGCCCGTTAACACCAACATCCTTGTCAGTAGCCAACACCTGTAGCACTATAGTGCCTTCTGCAGCCTTTTCTTTGACCGACATGCTGTACTCAGACTCCAAAAACTTCGGGTAATTGTCATTTTCATCAAGAACCTCTACAGCAATACTCAGTGTTCCAGAGTTTGGTGGTTCTCCACCGTCCTTTGCCACTACGTGAAATTGGTAACGATTTTGTTCTTCTCGATCCAATTCTTTTTTCAATATCACTTGCAGACTCACACTTTGATCGGGATTTGTTGTAATTTCAAGGTCGAAAATATCAGACGGTTGTACAATTTCATAACTCTGAACCGAAAAGTTTCCAATGTCTCTGTCCTCCGCTGGAGCTATAGTATACTTTGTAGCCTTATCGTTCTCGGAGACCTGAAGATTGACGAAGCTGCTGGGAAATATAGGAACGTGGTCGTTCTTATCTTGTATTGTGACTTGTGCTGTGAGGATGTTGATATAAGAGTTGGAAGCAGTCCGCACCGCTACATCAAAAGTGAACTGACAGTTTAACAGATATCCACATAGTGCTTCCCTATCCAGAACTTTTGCTAGATAAACATTTCCGGATTGTTCTACCACTGACACCCTGGAGGATGTGTCTCCATTGTCTAACAGTTGAAAGGTCAACGTATTGAATTCAGCAGCTGGTACATCAGTTTTCAGCACTTCTGCATCAGACATCTTACCAATCAATGTATCCTTTGGTTGTTGCTCCAGAGTAAAGAACTTGATCGCTGGTAACTCGTCTTGGCCATGAGAAGGGGAGGTAATCCAGAAGATGAGAAATGCGACCAAGTGTAACAGGGCTGCCATTATGATGTTTGTCCTATACAGCTATGTTTACATTCTCATCACCTGAAAAATATCAACGGGAAAATTCTGTCTCAGATTTCATACGCACACGACAAAGTTTAATCAATATTCACTAGGAAACCATCACCATCTAAGTAACAAGTCTGATGTTTCACTTACCCCATGATTATTGGGCAATGTAAAACAGAATCAACAGACATGCATAACGCAATGATAGTGATACAGTTTTTTTACAACTCTAGTATGGTACAGGGCTCTCGATCTGCCAGATTTAGGGCTGATATTCGGCACAATTCCCAATGCAAAATAGTATCTTTTTTTCCCAATTTAGACCCCAAGTTTTCCCAATTCTAAGGAAAACACCATTATTTTTCCCAGTTCTAAGGGCCTCGGGCCCCAGTCCCAAAATGGGGTGTGAGAGCCCTGTGGTATAATGAGTATTTAACATTGCTAATGGTATCATACCCTACATCACTTTCATAGCAAATAATAAATCACGGATAAAAGAACCAGATCCTGAGATCAAAATTATAATGTTTAGCATGTATTAAACATAAGAATATTCTGCATATCATAAAAACACCATGCGCAAGGCATTAAACCTGTCACCATGTAAATCTATATACAATTAGTCATTCATTAGCATACATTTAAGCAATACATGGGTCATTTGAAATTATCAAGTTAAACAAAATGAGCTCTAGGGAACCGGTAAAAGTTCACTTGATGTGTTACAAGGAGACAATTCGTTGGTTATTAACTAGAATTCTAACAATTCCTGATATTTGTGGAAGAATATAATTACTGCCATTACCTATAATTAAATGCCTTTTATGACATAATTAATTTGTCTGTTGTATCTAATTTCAGTGCTAACACATATTTGTCTGTAGAGGAAGAAAGAACAATATGTGAAGATTAACATGATTTGAAAAAAAAAGTCAAATAATTAAGACATACAGATTATTGTATACTTATTTAGTAGTTATATATATTGAACTACCATCTGTCTGAGGTCTTTTTATAAATAGGGATTTTACCACTGTTCTGTTGTATTGAATGAGAATTATGTCAAAATGATTCTTTAATGTTTTTAATAATTGAACATAAATAATTTTCTTTCATTAACAGCAATAATTGTTTAGACATACAGAACATATTATAAAACTGCCCAGGAGTATATCAGCACAACACAACAGTAATTAGTCTTAATTAGTCTAGAATCTCTGATCAATATCCATTTATACTTACATGAATCTTAATCCAACAAAAGTAATTATAAAACCACCTATACTGGTCAGCGAAACATTCCCATATCATACTGACCATAAGATCTGGGTGACTGACCATTGTCTTACTGGCCAGAGTGAGTGACATACACCTGTTTACCAGTTAATTAGAGCACTGACCAGTCCATACCTGGTGTAGTACTTACTTTAATTAATGGGTCCTGCCATAGGAGTTTACTACACTACACAAATGTCATTTAATGCAAGTCCCTAGCTGCAATGTACTGGACACTCACTAGTCAGTCATATACATGTCAAGTGTCCATCCCCTGTGGACTGACCACTCAGTATTGCAAGACAGGTGACACAAACAGTACAAGAACATTGTAAGTAGCTTCAGTGTGTCAGTTTGATAAGCTCTTTGCTTTCTTCATAAATTAACTCCCTGTGGCACTTGGCATATTACATGATATTGGTGTAGTACATGTATGTTGTAAATTGATTCTACTAATTATTTCTTGTAGATATACTTGTAGATATACAGGATAGGTAATATTACATCATTGTTCTATATACTGCATTTTGACCGTAATCAATTCAATCTCATATTTCTTCTAGACAGAAGTCAGATACAATTAGTGGCAAATTTCCTTTTTGGTTTTGTCTATCAGTCATTTCTGGAGTATCAATTATGTCACAATGACCTTTGATATATAGTTACATATTAAAATTAAATTGGGTATTGTTGGCAGCTTAATAAAATATTCCTGAAAATTTCATATAAAGGAAACATTTAAATTTGTATTAAATGTTTTCTGATAAGTATAATGCAGGAAATATAATTTTTTTTTGTTAAAAATTGCAGAGTCCTCAGGCTAAACTAGTCTTACAGAAAAAGGAGGAAAAAAAGGGAAAAAAAGAAGAGTATAAGTGAATTATTTAATGATATAACTTTTACTTAGAGGGTCTGAGAAGGACCTTTAATGTCAAATATATTTAAGAAATTTGAAAACCCAGGTCAAAACCACTAGCAATTAAATGATAAATAATATAAAAGAAAAAATTGGATTGTAACCAGAATTATAAATTACACAGTTCAAACAATTATAATATTATTATTAAATTACGGTTCATAATTACCCCTCATTATGGTTTTAGCTTTTCAGAAATGTCCCCCAACCGTCATATGTTAAACTAAGCTATCTATTTCACCAGGTAATTCAAATTTTAATTCAAAGGAAGAAAATATCTACATGTGTATAAAAAATGAAAAAATTATCATAAAAAAGTGATGAAGTTAATCATTTTGTTAACTAGTTAACTGATGGTAACAATCAAATAAATATATCCTTTCTTCATAAAAAAAATCAGATTTCCCCCCTCATACCATAATTACACTGTATATATCAGCTTCAGACTACAAATATTTAAAACTAAGTAAGTTATATTCACAGTCAGCCTGAGCACATGTTGAACTGATTTCATTAGTAAACAACCTGATGACAGGTGGTTAGTACACAGAAATAATGCAGGATTGATGCACTAACCAGGTATGTCACCCACACAACACATCAACTTTGGTAATTGGCAATCCATCACTGCTGACAGATTCAATCAACAGGTAAAAAACTGTATATAGAACCAACAGCTACACACTCTAGCCTGATCTGCTTATTTTCTATATATCTACCTACCATAGTGTTGTCATATTCTGGATAGCCAGTATATACTATAGATTTACCTATATACCTACCATAGTGTTGTCATATTCTGGATAGCCAGTATATACTATAGATTTACCTATATACCTACCATAGTGTTGTCATATTCTGGATAGCCAGTATATACTATAGATTTATCTATATACCTATCCTAGTGTTTTGTAATCTCACCTTTCTAGTAATGGTAATTTCCCATGTATTACCTACTGTCTGACAGCCATCAAAATGCATATATTCAATAACCTTGCTGATAACTTGATATGTCATCTTTCACCAACACAATTTACAAGACTTTTGTGACAACATCCATAATGTGTTATCAAACTTGAAAACAAACGATCTGCACATTCATTTCCAGTGATACAGGTAGCAAAATCATCTCTTATTTAACCATTTTCATTGGTCATATATCCACGCGTTTGATTTATAAAGGTTTTTCCATATTCTGTGACATTCTGTGGTCACTACAACGGTGAACTTTGCCTGTCTGTAACTAGTACTAACACAACGGTCTGTTAATGTTTACTTCACACTTGACAGTTAGTGGGCAGTTAGTGGTCAAATATAAATCTGACCACTTGAAATAACCATGAATGTCTCAGGGATTACGGATTGAGGACAAATATTTAGCTAGCAGATTGTCTCCCCTTTGTTGCGCCTGGTATATACAAACAAGCTGTAACCGTAAGGACCCTCTTCTTTACTCGCAGGATAAAATGTCACAGGTGAATTTGTTAACAAACCTGCTCCTTTTCCATTTATGAAACGAAGTACCCACTTATGGATGTTCTCAAAATTATTTACAAACAAAGGATTATGAAATGTTAAAAGCGATGTGGTGCCATTCAGAGTCATTTTTATCATCTACGTCGCTCTAGAGTAAAAATGGGTACAAGATTGAATACAAACTTATCATTTAGGATATTATCCTTTTCTTTTGATGAATTCAAATTAACTAATTCAAAGAAACATAGTTATCGGTAGAATTTCACGATATCTCACTCAAACGTACAGAAATAACCAGATTTACGAGGAAACACATATCTAATGTCAAATGAATAGTATTAAAAGAGTTGCCAACAGTTCCAAAAATCCATCAAAAATTAAATTTTCCATATTTAAAAAAAAAAATTTAGTGGGTTTATCGGGTGAATTTTACACCCCAATACCAAACCACATTGCTGTATTTTGTAGAAAGTTCTTGGTGATACAAAGTCCAGAAAGTTTTGAATTGATTTTGATTGAAGAAACAGATGAAATGTCTAATTACTGTTTACTCTATCAATAAACAACATTTACAGCAACAAAAACAAACTTGTCAATGAAGGAGTCAATACCCATATTCTCAAAATCAATCCAACTTGTATGTTTCTCATCCACAAATAGGATTTAAAGAGTGGCGTATCTCACACCAAAGTTGGTTGTTATTTAGGTACAACTGAAGTATTTTGAAAAAATATAAGTAGAGAAGTGAGGTAATGTCGCTGTGTTGTTTCCGTCCATTTGATATGCAGACAATATAATTTGTTTCACATAGGACATAAGGTTAAATGTTCTACCAATGAATAAATACAATTATTAAAACTGTTTAAAAGCTTTTAAGTCTACATAATTCAATAACAGTCAGAAATGACAGACATAAATCATACATTTCTTTGATGCTACAACAACTAAACATGTTCACTGAATGTAGAAAAGCTAGCCAGATGTCATTATGGCCCATCACGATATTGACATCACACACAAATGTCACATCATCAACATTCCCCACAATACTTACTTAAGGATCCTGATAGCCTCATGAATTATCCCAGGCTACTTTTGGAAATTCAACAGTCAAGTTAACACACATTTATGAACTTCCTGGAATACTGTCATTTTGTTTACACAAACATGTGTTCATCCTCCAAGATGCATGTAAATACTCATTTGTCAACATAAACAAAAAAATCATCCCATCAAACTGCACTTACAATATAGTTGTCTATATATTCCCCCTTGACAGGTATACACACACATCACTCAGCCCACCAGTGGGACAGGCTGATGA